CTCATCAAAGATTATTCCTAAGTTTAATACCGATATTTTGTGTGTGAGCTCTTCACTATTGAGGCATAGCTTTATAGCATCTCCACTGAACTCGTTCTTCTTAGAGTGGAAGGTAATTATGGCCGATTTGCTACAGTTTATGTGTAACCCGTGGTATCTAAACCAATCACAAACGCCGCTTAAATCTACTGCTAGTTTTTCATTAGCATCAACATATGAGGAGGGATCATAGGATAGATAAAGCTGGGTATCATCAGCATAAGAATGTAAAGCGCAATGTTTGACCGACCGATCCAAGTCCGACACGTATAAAGTAAATAAGATTGGTCCTAAAATGGAACCTTGCGGCACCCCCTTTACAAATGAACAAGAACAGACCTGTGCGTCAATTTCGCTCACAGCGCTGCGACAGTGCAGCGTCTAAATTTTAATTCGCTGCTTGCACGATTTTTATTGCTATCGCAATGGCAAACATTGAAAAACTTCTGGAAATAAGTAAAAAATTTCCAATTCTCTATGACTTGAACAACGATTACTACAAAAATGTTCGAAAAAAAGACATAATCTGGGATGAAGTAGGAGTGGAATTGAATGACACCGGTAAGTTACTCTTTACTGAGAAATTATTATAATACGTTCATTATTTATGAATGGCTTAGCTAAGCTGATCTTGACCAATAATATTAGGAGTTGAAGTAGTCAACAAATTTTTCTCGTGTAGAAAATGCCAGATTCGACTGTATATATGTAAACGGTCTCATTAGGTAGGGTTTAAGGGCAAATCCTTCATCTCCAATCAAAACATGAGGGCACACCGTTTACTGCCAATCCACTGCGATCTTTTCGCTTCGATATGAAAGTCCCTCAGATGTTCGCAGCGAATTTCGCGAGAATTATATCGCCACGAATATCGCAGCGGATTAATCGCGTTGGTTTGGGTGATCCTTTATACACCGAAGACCTTGAGTCGGCGAATATTTCGCAAAGCGAAAATTTCGGCATCGCACCGAATTATTCGCGTCATCATTCTTTAAAAGGTCCCTCAAACCCACGCAATTAATCCGCTGCGATATTCGTGGCGATATATTTGAGGGACTTTTCATATCAAAGCGAGAAGATCGCAGTAGACGGTGTGAGTGTCGCTTGTAAACCAAATTAAAATATGTAGTTTTCCGATGAAGAAGCAATTCTATTTCTTGCTTTGGAGGAGGAAGAACGGAGCAGGTATGTATTTCTTGCAACATCTACGACTTAGTTAAAATACATACTTAAATATTTACAGGAAGCGAAGAAAATGGTGTGATAAAATTAATTTGGGAAGGAAGGAATGTGGGGAATTCCAAACATTAATGTTTTGTCTCTCATTTTTGAAATTCAGCAAATTTGTATTATGTAATTTCCAGAATGGATAAGAAAAAGTGGATGCGCAACTAATTTCTAGCTTTGAATCTTAATTAAGTGAATTTGAGACAAGAACCCAATGTAATCATCAACACATACAACTTACAGCTTAGACCTCCAGTAATGCCATCTCAGAAGCAGATTTTACATAACATCAGAGCCAAGGATTGATAACAAGCCGCATGATGTTTAGGCAACACGTACAACTAAGGCCGGTATCGTCCTGAGCCCCCCCCCCCCCACACTCCCAGCGCTTTCTGACCAGATAATTTCAAATTCATCATTATATGAACCCCCAAAAACATTTTTCAGAAATACCCGTCGTAAACTGTCGTCCAAAGAGAATAATTGAAAGAAATCGATTCAGTATGGTCCTATAGGGGTCTGTACCTTGCGGCAAAGTCTGAGATCTAGGCCGTTAAATTTGGTGACAGTGAGGTCCAGAAGACACCGCCCAATTAAATACGAACGAATTTTCGAACAGAGGCATAACTATAAAGATAGCTATGAGTCTCACCATTCTTATGCTCATCATGACAGTTATTGGCAGAACCTATCATGCCAGCATGGAAAACTAATAGTTATTATCATAATGAACTTAATGATAATGAGCAGCAACTGACAAGAATGGATATCAATATACAATAAAGAGAAGATGATATCGTTATCTCTTTTTGTCCAATGAAACAATACTCTTGCCCGTTTGGAATGTAGACGGACAGTACTGTGAAGTACCTTGTGAACATACATTTGCTCACACAATAACAAGCAGTGCAAACAATTTAACGCTTGACCAAATTTGTTCCGTTGGTTACCTCATGCATTGACTTTGAAACGCGCGTTGTACATCCTGCAGAGATAATGGCCTATGAAGAACGTACTTCCTTGATTTACAAGAAACCATATTGGGTGATGGGTGGATAGTATTGCGCTTTGCAGTTTGCTTCACGCATGAGAAGTTAAGGAAGGATTATTGATATGGCAGAGGTGACAGGCAGAGAACGAGGGAAAATACTTCACGATTCGCGGCTAAAAATTAACACGCTTTAAGCCACCACCGGTATTTTCTCAGCTGCACTACTGGTCTATTTTGCCCTCCTTACTTAGGTTTGTAGTCGAAATAGGTAGGTGAGACATTTTGACCTAACATTCGCATTACGAAAAACCATGTCTCCAATTTGCTTCACTAATCTTTACCTCTTCTGTAACTCGAAAAATACCTCTCGGGTTTTGATAAAATTCTGAAACAAGGCTACTTCCATAGTAAACTAGAAAGAGCTTCATCGGTACTAGAGCAAAAGATGAATAAAATTAAAATCACTTGTAGCTTTTGGAGCTTTGATGTTCCTAGTCAGTTTCAGAAACAAAAAAATTTGTATCTAAAATCGGTGTTTGGGTGTTAAAGGGAATTAATATGAACAATATAAATGTAAAATATGCTTTTCTATGTCGCCAAAAAAAGTCACCTGTATTAATTTAAGACCTATTAATGAATCATCAGACTGCAAGAAAAGGTGCGTTGGTACTAAGTACTTACTATATATATACGTAATATCAATACATATACTCATACTACATAAATTACAGGCTTTTATAGGTACAGAAAAAAATAATCAAATGAACTTTAGTAAAGAGCTATAAACTATGTTGCCTCTCATACTCGTAATTAGTCCATGTAATCATAAACAATCCGCGACTCTCATGGAGACTCAAGCTACAACCTCAGGTTATCTAAATATGGAACTACGACCACATGCAAGGATGTCGACAATTAACAAATAGAGATTGCTTGTTAACCAATTTTTGTGCGTATTGTCTAAGGTTAATTATATGTTCCTAGGAAAATGCACAATACAATACTCATGTAAGCGTGTTATATTTCCCAGTATACACTATAAGGACCAGTGCTATCTGACCGTATTAGCTGATTACGAATTGGTGAACTGTCTGATAATAAAATTAAATATCAAACTGACCAATTTTTAAGATGGCCACGAGATGATACAACATATGCATCAAAAAATATCAATGAATGAATGGAATGAGAGATAAGCCTACAAAAATACAGTCTGTGTCCTAAGGTCTCACTACGAACTGAAATGAGGACGGAAGACTCCTCACGGCAATATTGATTACTAAGTGGATTACCGATACGCATCGAAACCAGAGAAACGTCTCCCTGGAGCAAGGACCAAAAAGTACCGAATTCTAATTCTACTGCAACTAATACGGATGCGCTTAAAGAATTTTCTTGGCCTTCTATATGCAGGTAACTTCCAAAAAATATCCTCAGCGTTTTTCGTACTCGGGCAAGCTAACCCATTTTTGGTTTTTAAAAAGGTGAAGGCTATTCAAGTGTTTCTACCGATATAAGCGAGCCTAAGTATAATATGGTATAATAGTGGCATATGTTTACTGTACTACCTTTAAACTCATCGACTTTTCAAATTGCCGTGCACATCAATCGAAGGCGGTGATATTATTCAACGTGGGTCATGACATCATCTAACCAAGCCCATTGTACATTGAACTGACACACAGAGCTACACTAACAACAAAGAGGTGTGAAGTATGAAATGGTATCAAGGTGAAAAGATGGTACCATTACGAGAGTATTAACCACAAGCAATCATGATAAAATGGATTATAATTTTCAATAACCAAAACAAATGATGACCTAAAGAAATATGTATATTAACGAAACACTTTATCTATACAGTTAAATTGTTTTTCATTACTCTTTTTTGCACCTCAATACAACCAAAATTCTCGATGTTTCACATCTTATATGAATAATATGTATGCAATAATATAACAGTATCATGATTTGTTTTTATACGCAGAAATTGTTGAAGATGCCGAAAATTGCAAATAATACTCAAAAACAGTATATCATGCGCAACATTTAACGGTTATAAAATATTACACAAAGGCATAAAACGGTTACTTACTTTACATAAGTGTGGCTTCAACACGTTTTGTCGTTATATTCAAGATTTCTTCATTAGCAATGGTCCTTACAGTCAGACCGCTTCTACAAATTATTCAGTAAAATTATTTGTAATATTTTTTGTCCTCTTTAATAATAAGAAGCAAGTCATAATGAATGCTATGCTACATTTGTATTTAAATTTCTTGTCTATTGGATTATTCGGCAATATTCTTTGTTTCGGTTTTCCTAAATTTATGCAAATATTCATCACAGAAGATTCACAGAATTATGACTAAAAAACAATTTTTTTATTTTAGATCTAATTGCCAATAGCGCCTAAGATACACAGTTTAATTTTTAGGAAAGCTTCAAAGCTAAATAGCGACAGTTAAATAGATTTTTGAATCCAATAAGAAGAAAATGTTTACTAGCACAAAAAACTCAATAGGTTTGAATTTTTCTGACACTAATAAATATTATTGGTTATACACCCCATCCCACTTCAGTTGGCCCACTTCAAGATTTGTACCAAAATATGCCATAAACTAAACATGACGAAACTATTTACTTCTAAAACAATTTATTTGCTCAAAATCATTTTAGATACACACTAGTCGTAGAAAATACGTATTTGAAATCACTTAGATCTATAACTAATAGAACATCTGAACAAATAAACAATGTGCGAATAATTGCGCGAAGTTAACAAAGCAACAATTGAAAGATTACCATTGGGTAACATCACCTTTATTTTTTATTGGGGCTGAAATTCTTTGGGGCATAGTGTTAACCAATGGCAAAAATTTGGTGTAAAACAATCCCATATTTCTTGAAGCTTTTGTCTCAGTTCGGTGATTGTACGAACAGGATGTTGTCGTAGAACCTTTTTCATCTCATGCCACAAAGTTTCAATAGGTGACAGATCTGGGCTGCTAGAAACCCATTTCAAAAGTGGTACATTATTTTCTTCCATCCATTTTATAGCCTTTTTTGAGGTATGGCACGCTGCACCATCTTGCTGAAACACAAAATCTTAGCCGGATGTCAAACATTCTTCCATCACTGGTAAAAGCGATTCTTCTAAAATTGCCAAATATTTGTTTGTATCCACATTTCCATCAATAAAATGAAGTTTTCCAACTCCTTTTGATGACGTACTGATCCAGACCATAATGGATGCTGGAAATTTCACTTTTCTCTTCAGTCAACATCGAATGCTTCATTTTTTTGCGAATAACTCTATTGCGACTGTCACCAACACAAACTTCGAATCGGGCCTCATCACTACATTGTATAGCACACCATTGTTGACGTGTCCATTGTCTATGTTCTTTAGCCCATCTAAGACGATTTTTCTTGTGCTGTGGAGTTAATAGTGGCTTTTCTTTGGTCTACTTTAGGGTTTTTACTTCACTTTTTTTTATAAGAAAACTTACCTTGCAAGTGCTAAATCCCACTTTGTGGGCCTCTCTATGAGTTGTTGACCTCGAAATTCTCCTTCCAACAGCGTCACTCCACAAAGCACTTAATTGTAAATAATTGGCACGCCTGTTTTCCACAATTATTCTTCTTAAAGCTCTTCGGTCGGCTCTTCGTGGCTTAATATTAACTGAACCAGTTACGTTATATCTTCTAACAATATTTCTCACACTGTACCGCGATAAGTCTAACAAAGTTGCAATTTCTGAGTTTGATTTCCCAGAATTAAAAAAAATAATTATCAGTAACCGAATTTTCTCACTAATAACCTTTCCTCTACCCATTTTGAAAACCTTAACTACCCAAAACTATTTTAAACGTATTCTGACAGCTGTGATTAATAAAAACAATTGTCATGGCTTTTATTTTTCACAGCCACTTATCCGTTATAGACTTATTTTGCATTGAAATGAAAATAGGATGATATGCTGTAATTGCAACATGTGTTATTTTTATGCTGCAAATTTGATTAGGGAGTGATAAAGTTGGTGTGGTCTACTATATATTATCAAAATATTCATTGTTAGTATTTTAAACCTATAATACCCTGCTACATTTTTATTATTTGTGTTTGATAAGAAAAAAACTAAGATTTCAATATTTGGGCCAACTGAAGTGGGAAGGGGCACGTATATTAAGTTGGCAACGAACTCCATTTTTTTTATTTTAAGCATGCGGCGATCAAACACGGTAAAAATGTTTCTTGTAGGTTGAGTTATTTTCTAGGAGCCACAAAGTTACGTGTCAAATTTTATGTTTCACGATTACACATAAAAGCGCTGCACCATTGGACCGTTTTACGTTTGTGACGCTTAGAATTTTCGTACACCTAAAATTCAGATTTCTATTTGTTATTCTACAAAGCATCTGGGTAAGTACCTTAAGAGGCTATTTGGATCACTAGCGTTCTTGTTGTAGAGTAGCAGTTATAGAAGTCATGGCCACGCCTCTATTCCGGATTTAATGTTTATGAAATGCTACTGTAAATTAACAGGCTGAAGTCAAGTCTTGCTAAATAGCAATCTATCTGTATATTTATGGAGGTATATTATGTAGCTGAGCACGGGTTACCTATTTAGAATACTAGGTTATGTATGATACTACATTATAAAATAGTGATTATATAATATTGCCACCAATCGCGTTCAACACTTAATAAGAAACGTTTCGAGTAGATTGCAATAGATATAATTAGAAAAATAGTACTGCTGCACCGTTGGTATGCATATGGTATTTGTAAATTTGATTTGCACAACTTGCAGCGCATAAGAAAATTTCGCGTATTTCGATTGAACTGCCCATAAGAAGTTTTTAAGCGGGGAACCGTGATGAACCGTAGTTATTCCTTCGTAATGCCCTTCATTATTCTGCCAGTTGCCCATCTTACACAGAACACAGATCAGAGAACAGGGTTGCTTCAAGCAACTGTTTTGTGGTCCAATGTCATAGATTATTTATAAATAATAGTAATAGATCAATCATCTTTACCGATTTTTATAGACAAAGAAATTACGTTCTCACAAATTCAATACCAGTGCCTAGCAGCTATTCTACTTAATCTCTCTGGAGGGCTGAGCCCAAATAAGTAAATAATCGAGCTAAAACTAAACCAAGGAATCGGTGAGGTATTTAAAAAAGTCTATAGTAAATAAGGTTTTCCAGAAAGAGTTAAGCGACTCAGGCATTCGCAAGGAAACGTACATGTAGTGATTATGCTTTTAACGTTTCACTTTTACGGCAAGGGCAATAGATTTTGTAGTAAATATACACCTTACCACTTTTGATATCTGACTACAGGGTGGCCAATATAAAACTGACTGATTTAAATTGAGCGCCATTTTTGATACACGCATTTCAGTAGGTGGCGCTGTAAAAGTAGTTTAAAGCACATGTGTTCAATTCATCATGGAGCGCTACACAATCCCACAACGCGTCCATATTGTTAAAACGTTTTACTGAAATAATGAGTCGATTGTTGCACCGATTCGGAAGCTACGACAAGATGTCGGTCGAAATAATGTGCCCAGCGTCAACACCATTCATTAGTTGGTGTGGTACTTTGAACAAACAGGTGAAGTTAAAGACTTGCCAAGGTCGGGCCGTGTTCGAACTGTTCGTACTCCGAAAAATATCGAGAGAGTTCGTGAAAGTGTTGTGGAGCGCCCTGAAACGTCTACCAGACATCGTTCTCAAGAACCGTGTATTCGTAGCACGTCATTATGCACTATTGTAAAAAAAGACATATTTGCGGCCATACAAAATTCAGTTAACCCAAGAACTGCAGGCTAGTGACCATGAAAGTCGCCGACAATCCAGTCATGCAATATTGCAACTTAATACTTCAAATATCGACTTTTGCCGACAGCTGATAACGAGCGACGAAGCCCACTCCGATATCAACATATTGGTTAATAAGCAGAATTGTCGTATCTGGACATTAGAGAACCCTCGGTTATCCTCGACGAGTTACAGTTTGGTGCAGTGTTTGGTATGAAGGTGTCATTGGACCTTAGTTCTTTGAAGACGCTGCAGGTAATTATCTTATTGTCACTGGCGAGCGCTACCGTGATATGATACAAAACCTTCTGGTTCCTCAAATCCAACAATTTAACCTGCAAAACGTGTGGTTCCAGCAGGACGGACCAACTTGTCACACAGCTAGGGAAACAATGAATCTTTTGCGACCAATATTTCCGGGACGTTTTATTTCTCGATTTGGTGATGTCAAAATGTAATCAAGATGGCTCAGATTTGCGCAGCTTCTAGAGGTGGACATTTGTCTGATATTATTTTTCATACATAATTTCTAAGTTTCAATAAAAGATTAAGATGAAAGAAATGGACGTATTTTATTTCATTTCACAAATATTCAAGATACAGACTAGTCAGTTACATATCGGCCACCCTGTATAACTCTAGTCTAGAAAGAATAATAATGTGATTCAAATATCAGTAAATACGTTACCGTGATGTTAAAAATGTGCCCAATTACTCTTCAAGTTCTGCTAAAAAAACAATGGATGAGTGCATAAACAGAAACACTAAGTAACTTACGTCCCGCATCATGTGATATCGTTTCTTCCTTTTATTCAATGATAACTTTTTAACTCACTACTATTAAATCATTGTCACTAAATTGGTCCGATAAAAAAGTTTTCTAGTGATATAATTATATAATAGATTTCTTGGGGCGTGCTAACGCTCCTTAACTAGCTCTCGAGGCGCTAAAATGAGTATTCATGAGAGGTTATAGTTTGAAGCCAATGTTTTGCATCTTTTAATGTTGTGTTAGGTATGAAGGTTCGCTGCAGAAGAATCTGATGGAATCGATCAGTACTGAGCTCTGTTAGCGAAGATGCCATTTAATGCACAGCTATCGGTCGAGAAATAAATGAACGAATTGCTGACTCTTTGCTACTGTTTTGCTGACAATTACGAACCCAAACCTCAGTATATTATTTATATAAATTTCGCATTTGCTACTATTTGATATTTGACTGAGATGTCTAAAATATTGGGCAATACGAGAAAATACTTTAAAGATTCCTTATGTCACCTAAGAAGAAAGCCATCCGTTCTATTAGGGTAAATATACAAAAATTATATAAGTGAGTCTGTTTGCCTGTTATTTGTTCCGCAGTCCAGCAGTTATTTCTGTGCCCTGATAATCAAGTATACGTTGTATTAACACATATGTTTTTCTGGACGTTCTAATATTTGACTTCTTCGAAAAACTCTAAAGGGTTCGAGAAGGGTGAAAACTACCCCCACCTCTAGATACATTATAGCAAAGTTTTTTGGTAACTTTCCAGACGAATCAGATTTTTTTTATTTTGCATACCTTTTTATTTACTTCACTTTTTGTCTCCTATAAAAGCAGGCCATCTCAGATAGCTTTCGAGAAAGTAGGTTGCTTCTAGACCTTCTCAAGCGGCTTATTGATTCTTTAAGTGTAGTTAACAAAAATAAACAAGTATGATATTACTTATTACATTTTTTTTAATGCAGGCAATAGAGCGAACCTTTCATAAAATCATTAAATATGGCCACCATTTTCGTTACTGCACATAGCAATACGGCGCAAAAAATGTTAACACGATGTAATAGATTTTTTAGAAACCAGCGCAGAAAAATATTTTTCTCGAAAACTATGCGAGATCGCCTATTCATAAGAGACAAAAAGATTAAGTAAAAAAAAGTCAAAATCGTTGGAAGAGTTACGAAAAAATTCTGCTATAATTTATGTAGGGGTGGAGGTGGCGCAGCTATCCGTTCCAAAAATATCTGAAAAAAGATATGTTTTAAACAGAAAAGTTTGCCGCGCTCTAACAGGCAAAGGAAGCACTTTTGCATAGAGGTAAATCATGCCCGATCGACTTATTTTGAGTCTAGAAATACGTGGTACTTCTATGTC